CGCGGGTAGATTAATCATCTGTTGAGCAGGGAAAGGATGCGCGCATGTGCACTCGTAGTTCATCTAAACCACCCCTTGTCTTCTAGTTTACCTACTTTGTTGGCACTTCTCGTTGGTTGAGAATGCACCGATTTCGACAGCCTATTTCTTGTATATAGTAATCTCACTCTTTCTCAATCGCCACAATAGGTATTGTAAATATAAACTTTTCATATCCAACTATATTATGAGTGTTCGATTGCTACCTTGATGATGACCATTTTTCCACTTCGACGTATTGTATTTCTTACGTTATAGCTACATAATGATGTATGCAGTATTATATTTACATCCTTTGAGCAATGGTCATGTCTAAAATGAAGTTTTTGTAGTTATTTGACATGAATTGTTCTTTTTAATGCATATCTTCGATGGAACTTAATATTGGTTAATATTCGACTTAATTCACTGTTTATTTAATATTATTTGTTTTGATATCACTTGATTTTTTTTGCCAATGTAACCATACTCTACGTTTGAAACTACAGGGAAATTCAAAATTTTTTTTCTTCCTTTCTGCGGGTATTTATAAAATTGAGATTCAATTCTTTCATAGATGTTTAATTCCATCAAAATAAACTTGGTCGTGTATCAACACGAAGCCTTAGAAATTGAAGAAAAGGAAACATCAAAGGTTTGGCAGAATAAATAAGGCATCACAAATCGACATTCAATTTAGTTTTGACGCTGAAGCGTACGAGTTTTCTTTGGAAATAGGTGGCCGATAAAGCGATAGCGTTACTTTAACGCTCCGTATAACTCGAAAAGTTTCCTTCCTCGTTCTGCATGGAAAATACGTCGATCCGCGAACCTGAGCCTCTCAAAGCTTCCCCGCACTATTGAATCGCATATATAGGATCTTACATTGTCGAAGGCTACAAGGGGTGAAAGGCGATTTCATCCTTGTACGATTACTGATTTTCTTTCCTTTCAGTTTCCAACGATCTCCTCCCCTATCTCTCTTCTCGAAACCCACGAATAAGTTTTACCACAGAACAGCTTTTTTTCGAAGTTCATATAAATCTATGTTTGATGTTTATTGATATTTTTAGTTATTTATAATTTTAAAATTATTTGTTATTGATCTATATTTTATTGAATATGAAAGTTTTTCATTTATTATTCTTAGATATTTTTTGTAACATATATATTTTTTTAGCAAATAAATAGATAAGTGGTATGATTAGCATATGTTCAACTAAATAAAATTTATTAATATGTTCATTTCATTATCAAAACGAAGCTTATTAATTTCAACGTGCTCGAGGTTTTTTTGCAGCGCAGCACACTTATATAAGACGTAGCACGTCAAAATAACAACAAATACCAATTGACCACGTCACAAAGTGTTTCTCTCTTCTCTTGCATCACCAGTATAGTTTTATTGATCGCGAGAAGATTGTCCTCTCTCTCTCTCTCTCTATCGCATTGCTTCATGGTCAGGCTGCAATATCGGCTTGATAAAACAATGAAATTATGCGCCTCGCAGCCATTCCTTTCACCAAATGTAATCGACAATTTTACGATCATCATTGCAAGTGCATATTCGCATCTTGTATCTGTCCCTATTTTAATTTCAAGAAATGAAGTTTAATGTGTTACGTGTCTTTTGATGAGCTCTATAGATGCTAAAGAAAAAACAAGGAAAAGCACTTGATCATGCCGGTGATCGCTGTTTACAATATGCCAGCTCTTTTTATATAAAAAGAAATTCTTTTCCTGTTATATTGAAACGATTTTCAGTTTGTATGTAGAAAAGTAGGAATTATTTCTGAATATATACGTAAACGAATAGGTGAAGATATTATAGAAAATGAGTATAGTTTCCTTAACCAAGTAGTAAATATACTTTTTTCATTTAATTCAATGAAAATTAGTATTAATCTTTAACTTGATATTTAGTTATAAAAAACTCATCTATTACAATTTTCATTAAAATACTTTATCTTCAAATTTAAAAATCGTCAGCAATGATATAATATTGAAGCAATTAAATCGCCACTCGACATTTGAACGCACAGCTCACAAGAATTCACTCGGCAAAAGCTAATAACAAGCCGCTTGAAAATTGGCTAGCAGAGAAGCGTTCCGCAAAAGCCCGCATTTTTGGCGTAATTAATCGCGCCCGAATAGAGGAAGTCTCGCTCTGCTAGGCAATATTTACTCGGAGTAAAGCCAGGTCTTGTTTCTCTCTCTCTCTCTCTCTCTCTCTCTCTCTCTCGCTCTCTCATGGGCGTCCCATTTAATTAAGCCCGCTTAACGTTTGACGCTAGCCTTTGTGTAACACATCTCGATTATGAGTCCCCGATTAGATTTTCCGGATTGACGTCCTCATGCGTATATCAAGTACGACATTTTCATGTGATTGTTCAGTAATGCAAAGAGCTATGATCTTATCAGCTTTCTTCCACCTTCTCTCTCTCTCTCTCCCTTTCTTTCACTCACTCACTGTCTTGTCGTATGGTAAACGCACATTACCGGGTGTTTTTCAATTCATCGAATCTCCGAAATGCAGTAAACCGAACGACTTTATTGTTTTTCTCTCGGTGCTGCCTGCTTTATTTTTAACACTGCAGTCTCTGCAATCGACTAGCACTGTTACGTTCGCTCTGCTTTTTTGTATTTTTTACCATGAATGCTCTTATTTGGCAGGTGACGTTTGTAAACTTTCGCTATATCATGACCTGGAAAAACATCATCAATTTATTTTTTACTCTGAGATCAATCGATTTTTGCAGTATTATCTGTAGTTTATGACAAATGTTGATAAATTATTAAGCTTTATAATTAATGTGAAATTCATAACCATATTAATGTTTAAATTTTGTTGTCATTAATAACTGATAACTAACCAAGTAATATTTTCATAACTTTTTCTCAATTTTGAAATTTTTTAGTTAAGTGTTATCTCCTAAAAATATAGAGATTGTATGGAGAACTATGGAATATTCAAATTTGTTTTATAAATTAAAAAATGATTGTTATGGAAATTTGGTTTGTTACATTATAACTTAATTGAAAATATTTCTTCTGTTTTCTATGAGAATTTCACTGTTGTATTACATTGATCATGAGTCATATGTTAACAGGTATTTTATACAACGATCATTTATTGTACGCGGAATAGTAAATCAGTGCTGAATTATAATAATTTTGAAATAATTTGAAATTTTGGTTTGCTACATTATAACTTAATTGAATATGTCTCTTGTTTAATTTCGGTTAGAATTTCACTGTTGTATTACATTGATCATGAGTCATATGTTAACAGGTATTTTATACAACGATCATTTATTGTACGCGGAATAGTAAATCAGTGCTGAATTATAATAATTTTGAAATAATTTGAAATTTTGGTTTGCTACATTATAACTTAATTGAATATGTCTCTTGTTTAATTTCGGTTAGAATTTCACTGTTGTATTAAATTGATAATAAATTATATATTAACGTGTAAAAATTTCATTAACGATGATTATTTTTTTTTCATTCTACTAGCTTGTGTAAAAGCTTGTACTCAATATGCTGAGCTGATGGTAAAGTTAAGTTACTCGATTTTAGTTCTATATGACTTGGAAAAACTTTTAACAAGATACATTACCTCTTTCTGCTCTGTCCTTCAACTTGTTTAACTCATGACTTTTTTAATTTTTCATCCAGTTGAGGTATCATACATTTTTTAATATTATTTCTCTCTTTATCTCTTTCAAGTTTCACGTTGAATTTAAAGAAAACCCCATGGATAAATGTTTGTTCTATCTAAATTATTACTAATCAGAAAAAATCTTACTTTTTATCTTTTGTACAAAGTTCAATTTGCTAACATTCACTTCCAAATCCAAAATTTAGAACTATACTTTTCCAAATAATTTTGCTAGAGTTTCTTTGGTTCTCTGTAACTAATTAAAACAATTTTTGGTTTTATCATCCAATTTTCAAAAATTGATATGAAATTCTCATTTTCATTTACTGCACTCGTTGATATTGTCAATACATCTTTCAGACCATAAAACCGATTCATTCCAGAAGTAAATTTTTCAATGCATTTTTATTAATGTAATTCGCCGACCATTCCATGTAAATAATGAAAGTGCGTTAAAACAAAATAGATTGAGCTTTTGTACAAAACGCAGTAAAATTTCTCAATACGTCTTACTTGATATTTAAAGTTATGACTGTGCAGCGAAATAAAATTGATATCAACCAAGTCAAACATTACGCGATAGAACGGGAAAAAAGAAAAACTCTGGCGAAATGGTTTACGTGAGCAGTCGCCACCACGTCGCTATATGGACATGCCCCTCATGCAAATCAAATGTCGTTAAAGCATTCGTATATATGCAAATATTGAAGGAAAGATGACTCTACCTCCGTTTAGCTGACTGAATTTACATGATTCACGCCCTCGAAGCCTATTGCTTGATCGCTCGTTCGATTGATTGGAACGAATTAATGCATTATCTTTGGATGAACGATGACAGTCGATGTAACGCAATGAGGCTATGCAATATGGATAATTGAATTCGTCGTGTCACAAATGAATTCGGCTTAGGGCACGTTTAACCTTGCTGTTCTCGCTCCAATTTAATTTGATACCTTTCCCATGGGATTGTTGCAGTCTCCAAAATAAACAAGCTCGCTGTATTTTCAATACGACGGTAATACGCTTGTTAGGTTAACAATTGCAGAGCTTTATTTTATTTGAATTCACTGATTAGTTGTACAATTTAATTGGAAGGAAATTTTTTGATTTAATGTAATCAATTATTTCTTTTTGCGTACTTTTCCGTGGATCAAGGAATATAGAGTCATAGCTATTCGTTGGTAGCATAGAGTTATAAAAAATTTATTGTATTGTAGCATAAATTCAATTATTGATGACCTCTAATTAAACTGTCATAGCTATTACATGTGTCTATCACTGCTTCATATATTGCTTTACATCAATATGTCTTTTTCAGTTACCAGGTCAGTCGCCGGATGATGGAATGATTAATAATTTGACGTTAAAGCTGGCGATCGACACTGTCATGTTAACGGCATTGACGACGATGTGGAGTCGATTTTTGTATTCAACATCAATGAAGCTACAATGATGTTACATTGAACGGACACAGGCTGCACAAAACAACGAGTTTCGTAGCAATTAAAAATCAGTCAAATACTATTTTTATAGATTTCAATAGATAAGAATATATATATACGTAACATTTTTGATTTATATATCAATCAATCGTTAATATAACTTTTTAGGAATGATTTTAATCACATTGTAATAATTATAATTTGTAAACTGTGTATTTCATATTTACTAGGAAAATTATGAATTTAGAGTAATATTTATAAACTAAATTTGTATCGATAATGTAAAATTTTTAACATTATTCACGGTTGATTCAAACTTTGAAAACATGTTACATTCGGCATGTCATTTTAGAAGATAGGATATAAGTTATCATTTAAAGTTCTCTTATTTTTCATGTGGAACTTATTTTGATAAAGATATTGATGTTATCAATCCAACAGTATTTGATAAAAACTTTAATTTTTATTGTTATATATTCGTAAATCTTAATTCTATGTTACAGTTTAGCTTTGTCACGCTTTTAATGTCGAATGTTAGTAAAAACGAGTCTTAAAAAGTCAAAAAACAATTTTTTTCAAAATAGCGACTCCACTAAGTCTAGAGCAAAGATCTTAACAAAAGAAAATGAGCCCTCCAATAATTTTTAACATTCACTTTATCCTATAGAAAAGCCTGTTAAATCTAATTATTTTTTTTATGAAAAAGATATAATTTAATCGTTGACCTTACGACACGTAGAACTGAGATTTTGGAACCCATAACAAAGAAAGTTTTTATTGGATACTACAAGAATAATAAAGGAATCATGTCAATATCTTCATTAGGACGATTTTTACGTAACATTAAAGAAAGCTTTAAATTTAGACTATTAGACCCCATTTTTTCTCTTTGAAATAGTTGTTCCTACTGAGATGTTTTTTGTAAAAAAAAGTACAAATTTTTGAATTTTTAAAACTTTAATGGTTCACATGTTTTTCTATTTAACAATCAGAGTATATACGTAGTTAAATTAATATGATACTTCATAATTTTTGTGATTCAGTACGAAAATATTAGTATTTCGTATTAACATGTACCTTCTCAAATATATTTATAAACCGAAATTACAGGCAAGAGTAATGAGCTAAACTTTTACTAATTATCATAATATTTTTTTGTTTGATTTTAATTTATGACAAACTTTCATAAGCATGTATAACTGCAAATGTAGTTAATTGTATAAAAAAATGTAAATAACTTAATTTAGAAGGTTCACTATTTTTTATTATACTAAATACAAGAATAAGCCGATGTTTACAAGAGATTTAGATAATACCCCAGGTACATTCAAACTTAAACTTCGCATATTACATTAAATTTTACTTAATTTCAATATTAATCAGAAATGAATGGGAGTAATTAAAATACATTCGACTAGAAACATATCCATTTATCCAATTTTGCATTTTATGTATAGCTCTTAAGAACTTTAAGTCAACGTAACCACATCCCTTGCATTAAGAGGTGAAATTTGGTTAGACGCAAAGAAGTCACTCGGCGGGAAGTAAGTAAGTGGCGCAAGAATTAGGTAGAAACCCGCGAGTGCAATTAAGATCTGCGCACAGGGATTGCTCGAGCGCCTGCTGCATTTTCCGCGATGCTAATTACAAGGCCCAGCCAGCGATAAATTGCCTTTACCAAGGAGCTGGCGCGAAATGTGTGCACGCGAAAAGTCTATGTACAATGCGCCAAGATGCAGTCAAGTGTTCGTTCAATTTGGATTTCGGCGGCTGGAAATTACGCGTTCAGGAAGCATTTGTTATGAAGTATGATTACTAGATAACGTTCGCATCATTCCACTAGGGTAAACGAACATTGTGTTAAAATTTATTTTCATGGAATAGATTACAAGAAGGTTGGCAATTCCTCGTTTATTTCGAGACATTATAAAAGTGCAAACGTAAATTCACTCGAGTAATGCATTTATTGATTACAAAATATTAGTCGTTGAATTCGTGTCCTCGAACACGCACAGAGGGGAACGTCCACCCTTTAGCAAAGTCAACCACATCGGTATTGCTGTCTGCATATGTCGACGATGATATATTTGTGCTTGAAAGTAAAGCGTTGGAAACAGAAGCACAGACATCTAACATTTCTAATCCAGCTGCGTGTAAATTTCAAAGCAACGCGTATGACAAGTCAATACTCTCCTGTTACGCTGGTAAGAGTGAGAGACTGAGAGAGAGAGAGAGAGAGAGAGAGAGAGATAGAGTGAGAGAGAGGGAGAAAGATAGAGGGAGGCAGAGGAAGCTCGCGCTAAAGAGTAAAAGCTTGAAATATTTAATGCGCGTCGCTCTGCCGCGCTATCCAGCTGAAATATTGATGCCAAGCATTTACCGTAATGGCTGAAAACACGACGATGTTGAGTTCCCCTTTAGCTTTTGCAGATTGTAGCCTTTGATTTGTACGCGTTCTCTTGCTCTCAAAAAGGGACGTTCTGTGCGATTGGTAGGCGGAGACAGATAACTATCTCTGCGGAAATGTTTGTAAGCGGGGATTGTTTTTCCAACTCTAGTGCTGAGTTTTTTTAATACTCCTAAGGCTCCCTGAAATATTTACAGACATTTCAGGATAAAATTTTTGCTCGTGCGCAGATTGTAAAGTAATATTAATTTTAGTGAGATTATATACTTAAAATACTTCAGAATAGTATTTTCAGCAATTAAAGTATCGATAAATCGTAACGATATTCATCATTAAAAATCTTATTACGAGAAATCAATTCCATATCAATAAATTAATTGAAGGATTCCTAACTTCATTATAAGTTATACCATAAAATGATATAATTCGTAATAAAATATAGAATTATATAAATATTTTATCATTACATTTACCTTGTGAATACTGAATGTTTTGAAACTGAGAAAACTGACGTAAAGTGAATGTAATTAATCCACCAGTTCAACAGCTACTAGAGAATTATTTGATTACAATTTCAATTTCATCAAATTTAATTACGAACAGCGTTCAATAAGTAAACTAATATCGGCCTGTTATCTATCTCTAGAAGTTACGCATATACGTATCTTCTTGTAATTAATTATGAATCATTATAAGCTCGTTTCAGTTTTACATGGCTTTTCACTCAGGTAACGTCGTTCACGTTATTATTGTAATAAAAAAACCATGAAATTACTATCAATATAGTATCGCGTAATAATTTGCGATAAGTTCATGTAGTAAGTCCATGCGTTGTATTTGGTTTACTTGTATTCATAAATTTCTTTTTTTATTGTCCGTAAAACCAAATAACCAACCTTTATAAAATATTATTCATCGAATATTTAGATTTTAAATCAATTTTTGAAAAGTAAATTAAATAAAAACACAAGTTACATTAATATTATCATGATTGCTATTACTTTCATAATAAACGTATTAAATCTTCAAATTGTAAATATATCAAGTTAACTAACATTATTAATGATGATAATTTTTTTAATATATTGCAAGTACCTTAACATACACTTAATCTCTCATACAAAAATGAACAATTAGTTCTAAGTTCATTTAAAAATATTTAATATTATATTTACAATAATTGATAATTTTTTAATTTCAGGTAGGCATTCATCACTACAAACATCAGTTTCTAACAGACTTTTTCTGATGAGTACAATTTTAAAAAGTAAGTAAACAAAATCTTTTCAAACGAATTAATAAAAATAGCATGGTGAGCACAATGAATAACGCGAAAAAAACCTTCAAATTTCACCTATGGTCGCTCATTAAATAACCCTAGATAAACAGTGGCATCTCCAGCACATTGAGCCGAGCCACGCACATTAATCATCTTAATTAATTACGACAGCGAAGAATCACTCGAGCCAAGTTCTTGAGTGGCCCCTCATAAATAAGCCGCAGCTGTGGAGTTTTAATTATTGTGAGCGTATGAAATTTAATTATGCAAATCGTAGTCGCTGTGTATATGTAACCAATATTTGTTTGTTAAAGCGTTGTTTACTTGGTAAAAGACTCATTATATCATAGTCTATTTTTTAGCTTTAATGGATTTTGTTTACAAAAATTTGCTAGGATTTTATAAAATGCAAAATGACCTTACCGTTCTTGAGATTCTAAATGATTTTTTTGTTCCTATTCATGAATATAATTTTTTTCATATATATTCTATAATTATATGTATAGCCCATTGTTAGTTACTATGTCAATCAATTTGATGGATATGATCTAAGATGATTCTATGAAAAAATGTCTAAGATATAATGTTGACACTTCATCATAATTTCAAAATAATGTACACACACACACACACACACAAATTAACTTTTGAAAACAAAAACATATGAATAGATGAAATGTTACTAGCAGTAGTATATACAAAAAGGAAAATTCATATCAATAAGTAGAACAAATAAATGTCCTCAAGTTTGTAATTCGAAACTTTAAATCTTTGGTTTGAAGCTTCCTATAGAGGCATTTCATGATCTTCGCGAATTGGCATTCTTGCATTCTTGATCAGAACCTTCACATCCAATACGATTAATTCTCCCTCTCGCTCTTGTTGGCTTTGATCAGCCTCAAAGTACATGACTGTGTTTGAGAGTTTCAATTAATTTGCTTGATACCCATCGACTTTGTTGTATTTGGCTGAATCAATAACTTGAATAGGAAAGACATTCTCGCGTCGATGATGAAGTTTAGAATTCATTTAAGTATAAGTATTAATTTTTACTATTTAAATGAAATTAGAAACTATTGATAACAAGAAAATTCAACTATTTAAAAAAGTGTTAAGAATTTTTTTTGTCAAACTAAACATTTCAAAGATTATAATTTTTTGTAAATTAATTTTGTATAAAATACTGAATTGAATAGATTTATTAATATGGGGCGGGCTTTTCTTAGCAATTCATATTAAAACGCGGATGGATATTATGAAAGACTTGCACTAAAGTTCAAATATGCGCTAAATGTTAGCTTGCACGTTCAATCAGTGCACACACG